AGAGTGAAGGTCACAGTATGAAGGGACACAAAATCTCTCCGGGGAAATGAGAAAAAGGGAGAAAAGGGTTTCAGAAATCAGACGTTGAGAGGGACCTTTTACTGGCTGGAAAGCCAAGATACCTCCAGAGATGATCTTAAAACCAAGCTCCCCGTGCATGAGTGAGGACTCTGAGTGTGCCTGTGAAGCCTGGTGGGTGGAGGATAACCAGATGTGTTGGAAAATTAGTGATTTGAACACAACATAACAACCATGTCTTCAGACACCTGACTGTCAGCAGCTTCAAAGGCCAGGAACAGTCTCTTTGTAACAGAATAGCCGACACCTGGTGAGCTTGTCAAGGGGCATTTCTGACACTAGATATGGGGAGCTAGAAACAACCAGCCCCCTGGTGAGGGGGCCTGGTGATTTGCCCCAGCACGGCTGTGTTGCTTGGAAGGGAGGAAGGCTCCTAGGTTGTGCCAGAGGGAGATACCTCCTGCAGGCACTAGGAGTCTCTCTGCAGAAGCCTGATTGGGAAGAGAGGATTCTCTAAGCAGATATCATGAAGGTTCATCTGCTGATCACAGCGGAAAATCGGGAAACATGCGGAGATGTTCTTCATGAGCAAGGGGTCCTCTGTATTTAGGCAGGAGGTGTGAAGTCTGATGGAGCAAAACTAGCCAGGTGTGCTGGGAAGTCAGAGACTACTCAGAGGGCACTGGAAAGAGGAATGGTCCAGGAACCACCGACTGCAAAAGTGTGTCACTGAAAGTGACAGGGGCTAAAGCCAGCCCGAACAAAAACAATCCGATGTTAAGGATGCGTCAGAAACGCAACAGGCAGGAGAGAGGTAACTGGGGAAGCTTATAAGAAACTGTATCTATCTCGCTATTAATGACCTTGGCAAAAGGAAGGGGGAGAAGCTGTTGACAATATTTGTTTTGATGGAGGTGTTTCATCAGCACAGAGGTTCTGGAATATCACGCTGGAAGCAGCTTGGGGCTGGGAGCATTAAAGCGGCTTGCAACTCAATGGCAGATGCCATCAGGTCACAGTAACTGTGAGAAATTTTGCTTTAGCTTCCTCAGCTGAAAGCAAAGGAAGGGAAGGACCTGGGCGTGCCAAGCGGTCCTTGGGGAGCTGAGTCACGGAGTGCACAGCCCAATAGGCACCAGGGATGGATGTACTCGGTGCGCGGCGCGTGTGGGCGGGAGAATCCCGGCACAGGAGGACAGTAGATGGCGGCATTGGCTCGGGACGAGGAGAGTAGCCCTGTGCCAGGAGGGAGTGAAGGAGCAGCAGCTGCAGCCTCCGGCCCCTGCCGCGCCCTCACTCCCGAGCATAGGTGCCCCTTCAGAGCGCTGCGGGAGTGCGATTTCATACAACCACAGAATGGCTTGGGTTGGGAGGAACCTTAAAGATCATCTCGTTCCAACCACTCTGCAAAATTGAGAACCCTAGATATTTTGGGTTTGTTCGTAAAAGTGCTGAAGAAATACAAGCAGAGTAGTAAGTCATTGGGGTTTTTTTGCAGGATTGGTGCTGAAATTGTTCCCACAAATTTGCCAAGCAAGTATAAAACTCAATGTGCCTTAATATCCTACATAATTTGAGATCTGGTTCTAACTTTTTATTGGTTTTAAAAGGCTGTACAGAATGTACCAAGACCACAATAGATGTGTTTATAGTTGCTCCTTTGTCAGATTACGCTATTCACTAGCCCTTACTTAGCCTCTCACTGTAAATCCCTGAGAAGTCCTGGATGCAGAACATCTGGACCCAGTTATGATTTTTTTCTGATGGTGCTGATCTTTCTTACAAAAAAAAGATTAATTTGGGATTAAAGATTGTCTTCCCATTCCTTTTGGAGGAGTCATATGCAAAGGAATTTGCATGCATAACACTTTCTTTGCATTCCTTAAGCTCTCCTCTCTGCCAAAAGGGAATCCACTGGATTTCCTGTGTTTTTTCAAAGTTTTCAGCCTCTGTGTATTGGGTTTGCATGGCAAGGTTTAGGTCGCAGTGTAGCAACAGGATTGGCTTCTGTGAGAAGCTGCCAGAAGTATCCCCTGTGTCTGACAGAGCCAGTGCCAGCCAGCTCCAAGATGGACCTGCTACTGGCCAAGGACAAGCCCATCAGCAACAGTGATAGCACCTCTGGGATAACATGGTTAAGAGGGGTGGAAAAAAAATAAGCAACTGCAGCCAGAGAGAGGAGTCAGAATATGTGAGAGAATCAGCCCTGCGGACACCCAGGTCAGTGCAGAAGGAGAGGGAGGAGGTGCTCCAGGTGTCAGAGCAGAGATTCCCCTGCAGCCTGTGGGGAAGACCCTGGTGAGGCAGGCTGTCCCCACTGCAGCCCGTGGAGGTCCAGAGATCCGTGGTGGAGCAGAGATCCACCCGCAGCCTGTGGAGTACCCCACAACAGAGCAGGTGAATGCCTGAAAGAAAGCTTTGGCCCTGTGGGAAGCCCACACTGGAGCAGGCTCCTGACACTACCTGTGGACCCATGGAGAAAGGAGCCCATGCTAGAGCAGGTTTGCTGGTGGAACTTGTGAACCTGCAGGGGACCCACACAGAAACTGTTCCTGAGGGAGGACTGCACCCCATGGAAGGGACCCACACTGGAACAGTTCATGAAGAACTCATGAAGTTCATGAAGCCTGTGGGATGGACTGACATTGAAGAAGTTTGTGGAGAACTGTCTCCTGTGGGAGGGAACCCATGCTGGAGCAGAGGAAGAGTGTGAGGAGTCCTCCCCGTGAGGAGGAAGGAGTGGCAGAGACAATCTGCAATGAACTGACAACAAATCCCATTCCTTGTCCCCCTGTGCTGCTGTGAGAGGAGGTGGAGAAAACTGGGACTGAAGGTAAGCCTTGGAGGAACAGAGTGGTAGGAGGGACTTCATTTAAGGTTTGGGTTTACTTTGTCAATATCCTTCTTTGATTTGGTTGATAATAAATTCAGTTAATTTCCCCAAGTGAAGTCTGTTTTACCCATGACAGTAATCAGTGAATGATCTCTCCCTGCCCTTATCTTGACTCACAAGGCTTTTGTTACCTTGTCTCTTCCCTGTCCAGCTGAGGAGGCTTTTGCTCACTGTAACTGCACACTGCACCAGGTCAGGCAAGAGCCCACGCCATCACAACAGGCACAGCTGGGTACAAGCTCAGTGTTGTTCAGTGGGGAACTTCTCTCAGAGAAGCAGACAAAAACCAGGAGCCATGAAGGGGCAGATTGAAGTAATGCAGAGAAAGGCACTGTGTGTCCATGTGAACCAGCATCACCCCCCTACCGGGCTGCTGTCTCCTCCTCCAGAGCAAAGAGCATGAGGAGAGTTGGCCATGCTCAGAGATGGGCCTGTGCAAGCTGTCAGCGAGAAAGTCCCAAAAACTGGGATTTGTACCTGAAAGGCAATAAGTCAGGAGGGGATGGGGAAATAACAACAAAAAAAAATGTGATAAAAGGTGGTAAAATAATGACCATCTAAGATATGATAGATCTGGGAGTCCCTCTTCTTCTAGTCTTTGTGACAGAAGAAAAGAAACCAGATGATGAAACCAGAAAGTTTTGAATTCAAAACCAATAGAGGAACCATTTTCACACAACGAATAAGCAGACCCGAGGACTGATTGCCAGAGGAAGCCAGAGAGTACAAGGAAACAGAGAGGTTTAAAGAGAGACCAGGCACACGTCTGAGCAATGAGAACGTCTAGGCTGGTAAAAGGCAATGCTAAAAGTATTACACACAGGAGGAGAGAGCATCCCATTGTGTATTAGAAGAGAGAGCAAACTGCTGTGAGGCACTGAGAGAATATGATGTGGTCCTGATGAATATTAGACAGCCCTTTAGCCCCACTGGGACTCACCCACCTTTTCTCTATCTCCAAAACATCTGGCAGAGAGAGGAGACTGAGCTACAGATCACTCCAACCTTAAAAAAAATTGCAGTATTATCAATTGCCTAGGAAAATTCTGGTGCCAAGCTAGATTGTCGTGTGTTTTGTTGGTTCTGACTGAAATTACATGGGATGGTTGAAGCAGACAGGTCTACCTCGTGGCTCTGCTGCATTTCTCCAGGACTCAGTGGAGAAATGAGTGTCATTTTCAGTAAAATACATGGCTAACTGTTTAGCTAAAGAGCTGTGGAATCCAGACATGCTCTTCAGAGTGGGCCAGTTGTGACTTTTTGGATGCTGCTCCATTACCTGCACTCTGAGGATCCCAAAGTGCATTTGCTAGCTGTGAATGCAGCTTCCCTCTTGGAAAGGGAAGGTGAAAGCTACACACCATATACCTGGTGAAATAATGAAAATCTGGCATGCTACTGATCCCTCTTACTCAAGTCAAGAGAACCTTTCATCTTAAATATTGAGAGCTTAATTTTTGTTCCGCTATCCCCTTGAGCAGCCACAGCCTGGGGACCCATATGGGAGACACCACATGTGTGGCTCTCTTTATTAGTGAGGCTTTCTTCTGGGGTGGCATGTAATGGCTGTTCAAGAGCAGTACTACAGTCCTCCGTGGCTTTTCAGAGAGGAGGTGAAGAGCGTTCTCTGACTACGTGAAAGCTAAACACGTTAAGGGTCTTGAGAGATGGGACCTGGCAGACTCACACTTAATATTACTAAATACATCCTTAGCAGGAGGAGAGTGACAGAGAGCCCTAACATCAGTTGTAGATCTTTCAGGAAAACGTGAGAACGAAAGGAATAAATGAATGAGTGAACAGGGACAGCCAGATGGGAGAAAAAGAAAGGAAAAAAGACTCTGAAACACAGCAAAAGGGAGAGACTGAACCTGTGATTCTTTCTTCTCTAGTGGCATTTAATTTCCCCTTCCCCGCTGTGAAAATGTCAGAAATGAACAGGCAACTTCAGTAAAACAGAACTGAAAAAGAAAGAAAGGCAGCAAAGGCCTTAGAAATGGCTTCACACAGGCAGAGGTACACCCGGCACGGTCAAATAGGCACAGTCCCCCATAAGCACATACAGGGACCAGCGGGCTTTTTTGTCACATAGATTTATTTTCAGTTCTAAAATGAGTTTCTAATAAGTTAAAATGCTCAAAATATGCAACAGGGCAGTGATCAGGGCAGTGCAGGCAGAGGGAGAAGAAAGCGAGCAAGGGGGGCAGAAAACACCATCAGGCTGCAGGAAAGACAGATTCCAGCCATCTCCTGCATCCTGGTGTTCCACCAGAGAAAGGTTGTGAGAGGAGCCACGAAAAAAGGACAAAGAGTAGGCAGAGATTTGGCACTAAAGCAGGCAATAGCTACTGGCTCAAATACTCCCAATAGCTCCAAAGCATCTGTGCTGCTGGCCACCTTACTGCAGCAGTGAGGCTTGCCTTGCCCTGGTAGGCAGCTCCCAGCCCCTCTGCAGATACAGAGCTCCCAATGCCTTCTGCATTGTTCATGCCATCCCTAGACCCCCCTGACAGGTCTGCATGGCACCCATCTCTCTGCAGCACGGCACACAGATTTTCATCCTCCCATGCAGACTAGCCCTGGTGTCCCTGCTTCTATCAGCACTCAGTTTGCTGGATCTTCCCTTTCTGGTTTTCCTTCATCGACTTCCTCGGCCCAGGGACTCCAATCATCCCTTCCAGTGCTGAGAAGGCAGGAGTCTGTGCCTGAAAGGGAAAAAAGAGGCAACATCAGGTATGGGAGGGAGATTGAATGGCATGGTAGACTGGGCTTCTCCTTGCCATGGAAGACATGATCCTACTGCTTGCAACCATAAGGCTCCCATTCCCTCCTAGAGCCAGAGAAGAAGCCACTCTCTGAGACCTGCAATTTCTTCTGGGGAGTGCTGTCCCAACATGATCCTCAGTGATGTCATAAGCATAAGGAATAACAAAGACAGGACGTGCTTAAGGGAGAGCAAAGAGTGATCTGGGCAATGGTCAGGCCAATGTCAGGTTTGATGGTATGCCAGATTTTACACCACCTTTTCAGAGAGAAGTAGTAAAGGCATGAAGGGTTGTCCAAAATGAGATAAGAACAAATTAAAGACAGAACTACTTTCACAAGTGACTTTCTAGACAATGGAAAAGACGTAGATCTCAGGGCTTCTGACAACGTAGAAGTATAGGGCAACACACAATCAGTTCAGCAAGGATGAGATTAGTTGGAGAATAGCATGGTAGGTGTAATCCCAGCTAAGAAGGGACTTCGATTTTGCTGGCATGTTTCTGTCAGGCTGTAGGGAAATGATAAGCACAAGTCTTCAAAGATCAGTCATTATTGGCATAGAGAGTGTGAAAGTGCTAATGAGTTAGGTAGCTGATAAAGCTGAGGAGCCTCATTTGGAAGAAAGAGGATGAAAATATCGCACAAGACCCAGCTATTTTAGGAGAACAGAGCACTAAACTGAGTGACAGGATGAGTGAAATGCAACAGTACCAATGGCACGTTGATAGGCTCAGGGGATCGGAATAGGAATTCCTAATGTGTGGGCAACAGCCCATCGAGTGCGCATGATACACTGTGGTGAGCATCCGGTGTCCAGCTAATGCAGGGAGAGCAAATGTAATCTCAGAGGATGCCAGCAGAGAGAGGGAGAGAACCAGAGAAGAGCTGATATCTTTGCCTGAGGCATCTCATCTGCACTCTGATGGAGGATGAGCCCAGCGGGGAGTCTGTGCAGAGAAGGGCATGAATCACAGAGTCACTGGATGTTGGTGTTGGAAGGGAGCTCTGGACATGATTCAGTCCAAACACCCTGATAAAGCAGGGCCACCCAGAGCTGGTTGAGGACCACCTGTGGATGGAGGACCTGTGCTTCAACACAGGAGCCTTGCTTACCCAGCAAAGCACGGCCATGAGGGCATATGCAAATGTTTTAGGGTGGTTAATATCCTGGCTACATGAAACTTTAACTAACAGCTGGACACCCAGGTGTCCTATTTCCTGCTAGCTGAGGCCTTAGAGTTACACTGCCAAGGGATTTCTCTGAAGGTTTTTGGCCAGAAAGGGTGGTTCTGATCATCTTGTCCCGGACTTGCACGGTCCAGAGAGTCACACCGAAACTGTAGGTTTCTGCCTCAGATTATCCTTTACCATCAGTGATAATTAAGGATGGATGATAGAGAACCTGTCATGAGCTGCTCTAGTGGTACCCACAGTGGTTTTTAAAAATTCCAACCTTGATTTTGTTCCTATGCTGCTTGTCTTCAGTCTCCAGCCACTGGGACTTGCTAAGACTTTTTATCAATGCTAACACATCCCTTGTCTTCAGCTCAAGGCAATTCCAATGCTCCCAGCTCTTTCACTGGGGCAAGGTCTTCTGAACTTAGACCGCTCCAATCCCCCAGCCCCTTCTGCACTAGAAGGGTTTTTTCACTGTGGACCCTTTCCAAGAAGTTAAGTAGAAGGCAACTACATCACACCTACACTCGAAAGGTGTCTCTTGTCAACAAAAGGATACCTTGAAGGATGAATTTGCCATGTAATTAACTTGCAGACCAACAGTATGAAAACTGCAGAGCAACAGTCTGACTTGTTTGCATAGCTTTTTTTCTGGGGACATGCTTGGGAACCATTAGCTCTGGCCTGGTCTTTGGGATCATAAAGGTAAGGCAGAGTTTTCAGAGGATGAGATACTGGAACAAGCTGAGCAAACAGAGGTCAGTAAGTTGCCAGAAGCAGAGGCTAAGATGTGAAGGCTGAGCCAGAAACAACAGCCCTGCATTGACATCTGTTCCTGGGCACCAGTAGGCATTCATATAGAACAGGAGATTGTTACATTAAAGTGTCCAGACAAGGAATAAGAGAGACAACATGTACAAAAGCCTGAAAATTAACCCTTCTCTAGCACAGCGTGGCTTAATCTGTGGGAGAATAAACATGAAGCTTTTCAAGACTGGGCTGTGGTTGTTTCTTCGGAGGTTTCATCCCTCCTCTGAGGTGTCTGACCTGCCTCCAGACAAACACCATGGTTAGCCAGAGCTGCCAAATAAGGTCAAATAAGGGTTGATGTACAGGAAAAATAACAGAAATTGGGTGATGAACACTTACCCTTTTCTGTAGGGCCAGAGCCACAACACAGACAGCAAGCAGAAGGAAGAGGGTGAGTGTGAGCCCAAAAGTAACTTGCCCACTGAACATAGCAGGAGGGCTGGAGACCTGGGCACCTGTGAGGAGGAACCACAGTTAGGAAGGAAGGGAATGTCAATTTTGCACTGGGGCAAGGCTGGGAATGGGCAAAATGGGAAAGAGTGCAGGGAACTGGAAGGAGCAACATAAGGGACTGGTGAGAGCTAAGACAGGATGACAAGAAGATGGGATCCATATGGTCCAAGGGAAGAAGGAGAGGGTGAAAGTGAGACAGGAAAGGCACCAGGGAACTAAATAGGGCAAGAAGAGATTGGTTACAAATACATGGGGGACAGTACTTGTGATCTGCAGCTTGTACTCCACTCCTCCCAGTTGGCCTTCTGGGCCATATACACTGCATTCCCATGTGCCCGTATCCTTTTGTGACACTTTGGGTATTTTCAAGATAGGTCCCATCTGGGCGCTGCTGCCCTCCAGGTTTTGGAGGGTGGCCACAGCCAGCTTGCTCTTAGTGGGGACTGAGCCAAGGTGCTTCCACTGGAAACGTTCATGTCCCCGGGAGTGTGTGAGGCTGCAGATGAGCAGCAAACGACTCCCCTCAGAAACTGGTCCTTGGATGCTTGGAGTCACTGCAGCAAAGAAAAAAATACCCTCAGGAAAGACTACAGACAGGTCCACATCTCTTCTTCATCCATCCTTCTTCTATTACATCCCTTCTTTATTATTTCCTCTAATTTATTTTCTTTGTCTTTCCTAGTTTTAAGAGGAATAATCAGGTCACCAAGGAAAAACGACTTCAGCAGACTCCAGTGCAGTGCAATGCCCTCAATAGAGATCTTGTTTCTCACCCCGAGGTGGGAACTCATGATCAAGGAGCTACCCACGCTCACTGCACTGACATGTGGGGAGGTTTATCTGTAAGCACTGGGGGACTCCAGAGGGGTAATGCACCTCCTTGTCTCTCCTCTCACCTGTAACCACTGCCAAGGTCACCTCCCTGCTGATTGTTTTGTGGCCCACAGAGACAGCACAGCGGTACTGCCCTGCATCACGCGGCCCCACCACAGGGAGATGCAGGGGGAAGCTTCTGTTACTCAGATTTGGGAAGATGTCCCAGTCTTGCAAGTGTCCTCCTGCAAGATGGCTCCAGTGGGCTGTCACCATGTTCATCTGAAAGGAACTGGGAAGGTAGCTCAGGCTGCATGGTAGATGGGCTGCAGAGCCAGCTGCAGCATAGACCACAGGGTTGGTTGGGCCATCAAAACCTAAGCCAGAGAAAGAGCGCAATGTGAGGTGGTGGCTGGAAAGATGGGAGATGACTGACCTGGGAAGTGAGGACAGGGTGGGAGCTGGGAAGCTGGAGCTACCGGGGTTAGTCAGTCACATCAAAGGGATTAACTTGGGGATGCTGGAATATCGGCACAGAGGTTGAGGTCACCTAGAATTTGCAGGTTGTACGTGGCAGAAATTATCTCGTTATCAGAGTATCGAAGCTGGCAGCGCCAGGAGCCTGCATCACTCATGGCTGGCCGCAGGATGGAGAGAGCCCCAGACAAAGAGCAGAAGGTCCTGGAGGTGGGGCCCAGGTGCCCGTTATGGAACCAACATATCTCCACAAGGCTGGCCTGGTAGCTGGAGTTGCAGCTCATCAAGAGCGGCTCATTTTCTTCCACAGGATTGGGTGGACTGAGGGTTACTGCAAAAAACCAAAGTGTTGGGGTGTGGGGGTGAGCTAAGATCACAGGGCAACTACCAACACAACCCTTTGTGTCCCCCTGTCCTAGCCTTGTCCCACAGGCAGGCGCCCCTCCAGAACTGAGAGCAGACAGCAGGAAGCTGTGCGCTTTCAGGAGGATGCTGCCTGTACTCTAACATGCCCAACCAAACACAGCATCCCCACCCCATCCCATCTTTACAACCTCCCCGGTCCTAAAATCAACATTCTCCAGGTTTTCTATCTTCTCCTACCTGTAATTACCCCCAGTTCCACATGGCAGCTATGGACCTCCGAGTTGTATTCCACCCGTGCCTCGTACAGCCCAGCGTCCTCGCTCCTGACGGGGTCAATCCGCAGGGAGAAATTGCCATTGTGTAAGGCAGAGTCCTGGAGTGACACCCGGGGCTTCATGAGCAGTGCCGTCTTCTGGAGGCCCGAGTACCCCACCTCCAGTACCCCATGTGACTCCTGGTGGACACTGGAAGTGGGATAAGTGAGCGGCTCATCCCAGAGGCAAATGTTAGATCAAGGGAGGGGGCAGGAAGGAGGGAAGATGGGGAAAGAGAAAAGGGGCTCAAAGTGTCTCCCACCCTATCCAGTCCCCCCAGAAGGACTGGAATTTCTTTTGACCCTGACGTACCTTCCCCCATGCCTCTTCCACTGCACAGATATCTTGTCGGGCAGCTGCTTCAAGCTCTTTCTCGTTTTTCTGGGGCTCAAGTGGCAGGGCAGCACAGCTGAACTCCCCTCTCTGACCCACATTTTCTGGTCCCTGCTTTCCCCCTCCGCTAATCCTGCTAGGATGTGACCAGCTGTAACAAGATAAAGAGTTGAGCAAAGAGTGGGGATGCTGCATTTGCCAGGGCAAGTTAGAGAGCAGGGCAATATCTGGCCATCTTTGGTGGATTGGAAGGGCACAAACTCTCCCTTCCAGTCTTGTCAGGGACCAAGTAACACCCAGGCATAGCTTACTGAGCTACACTGCCCTCCCCAGTAGGTTCAGCCCCTCTTACCACTGAAAGCCAGCAGGACAAAGGTGAGGAACAGCACCAGGGACATCAGCCTCATGGTGGCATCCAGGAAAGGCGAGGGGCTGCCTCCTACTTGGGTCCGTGCTTGACAAGGTCCAAAGCTTGAAGAGATCAGTAAAAATGAGGCATGGGCAAAGAAGGTGCTAGAGGTTGGTGGGTAAGCAAAAAGGGGTCAGTGGGATGTGCTTGCTCTCATGCCGTCTCTCTCTCTCTCTGATCGAAGCATTTCCCTAAATGCCCTTATATTGCAGGTGGGCAGCAAATTTCCTCATATCACTAAGAAGATGCGTCACCACCAAGAAACCAGTATAAGCCTGAGGCACGTGAGAGCAGAGGAGGGAGGGACCAGAGACACAGCTGTAAGCATCTTTTAGTGGAAATTCTTTGAGTCGCTGTTGTTTTTCTTACAAATTTCGCTTCTACATAGCCAGTGGAAAAAGTGTAGAAGACACTTCCCAGCAAGTGCCCTTCATGTTTTTCTTTCATCTCTTACCTTTTTTGGTTTGATCTTTCCGTCTCTTACAGCTTCCCTCTAATTGTTTCAGGGCTTTTGAGAACATGTTGGTCTTTATTTCTGCTGTTCTTTCTTCTTGTTTTTTTTTTTTTTTTTTCTTCATTTTCTTTTTCTTTCCTTCTTTAATCCTCCAAATGAGCTAATTCCTTGGCTTTTTCTCATTGGTCAGTTCACAGGCAGCATGAGGAAATGGTCTGTGGTGAGCTCCAAGTAGGGCACATGTGACTCATCAATCTAGAGTCCAGGGCCAATATGGGACAAAGCCCGGGTGGTCCAAGGAGATAGAGAGGAGCATCCAGAAGAAGGAATCAGAACTGAAAAGAGGGGCTGAATACTGTGGCACAATGAGGAGTGTGAGGAAGGGACCCTCCTCCTCCATCAGTTCTGGGAAAACCCACTCAAGCTCATGCACAGAGGGGGCTCAACCTAGCTCCCATTAAGCTGCTGACCTTTACATAGGGCTATACATTTCCATCCATGTGCCTCATCCTGGGACCCATTTTGTCTCAGAGAACCCCCACTGTTGTGGTTCACACTTTCCAGCAGCCCACTGCTCTGACTCTTTCGGACTTAATCAGCCCTTCATGACATGTGTCAGACACTAAGCCCCTCGGTGGCTCATCCCCCAAGTGTTGGGGCTTTTCCTCAGGCTGGGGGAAGGGAGGTGACTCATAGTGGCCACTTTTCAACTGTGGAAGGATCCTTGCTTGCTCTCTGGTTTTCCTCAGCTGGGTGGTGAAGGTGGAGGATAAAAGCAGGCCAGTGCTATGCCTCGCTTCAGCAGACCCCTGTTGCAGCAACAGGTCTCATCTCTTTCATCACACATGGCTCTCCAGCCTCCTGAGGAGTGGGACTGGTGTACAGGTGGAACCTCATGTGCCTCCATGTCCCCAAGGGACTGCTTTGTAGTGGTCCCACATGCCCTCTTGTGTAACACAGTCCATGGGATCGCATGAGAGAGAAAGAGAGGAGCAAAGATAGGGGAGAACTTGCAACAGTTGTCAGGAGGTGTTTTTTTCCTACTGTTCAAGAAAAACAGTTTGTGGTGACCAGTTCAAGCAGAAAGCATCAACCGCTTCTTTCCCTTGAATCAGCAGTGCAAGAATGGTGTGAGTGTGTGGGTGAAGGTGAGAGAGAGAGAGAAGGGAGTTGGAACCGTGGTGGGGAGACACATACATTGCTGCAGTCCAGCATCATCTGCTCCCCCTCTCCTGGCTTCACTTGAGGGACACACTGAGTTCATTACTCTCTCCCTCCATCTCAACTCTCTCTGCTCTTGTAGCCTTGGCACCCTGGCACTATTCCACTCTAGCCCTCAAAACCACTTTTAAAGGAATTCATGCTCTAGGAAATGCTTATCCCTTGTAAGACTCAGCAAAGCAGAGGACGTAGTCCCATTCTGCTACAGCTTCCCAAGAGGTGGTCACAAGAGACTGATGGAGAGCCCAGGAAAATGACAGGAGCTGCCTGGGTGTTTGAGGGTGTTTGAGGCCGAGGGGTTATTATGCTGAGTGAGCATGTTGTAAAAGGAAGGTTTTAGAGGCACTGTTTTACTCAGCACCAGGCTATCTTTAGCAAAGACACTGTGACGTTTCTCTCTAACGGCCCATTTTAAATGCTGACTCCCTCGAATAGCATTTTCGTCATCTCCCAGAATGGGACCCCGAGGCAGAGATAACAGTGACCAGAGAGAGATCAGCACAGGGACATCTTCTCAGAACTGCCCGTGTGGGTCCCCTGGGCAGAGAGGCTGACAGGGATGTGTGGGACCCTGGCAGAGCCATGGGGAATGAGGGGCAGGCTGCAACAAGAGTAGCCAAGGGCAGGGACGTAGAAGCCCAGCTCACTAAATGCTCCTTTGTCCATGTTAGGCATTAGTAGCTTCAGCCAGGTTCCGGACTTCACCGCAGCAGTCGTCTTGTGCACAGCCTTAATACATTGCTCTTCTTGTCTCTCTTGGCATGTCTTATGGATGCAAACTGCACTCACCAAGAAAAATAGGAATAGAAAACACTGTTCTGCAGTATCATTGAGTTAGTCTTGCTGAAGGAATTTTCCACTGCATTTCCAGATTTCTGTAATACCGTGTTTTTCTCTGAATGATTCCACTTTCATGTTTTGGTCCTTGCACCATCAAATCTGAAAGTAGTCACAATCTTCCACTTTATGCTGACGTTCTCAGGTGCTCTAGAATTTATTTTCAGACTTCAGCTGATCTAGGAAACCATGCTTGAAGACTGAGTTATCAGCTTGCCTGGGCGTTCCTGAGATAGAGTGCTTGCCAGAAGGACCTCGTGTAAAACATCCTGATTGCTGTTTGTCCAGTGCTAAAGCAAACATAGCAGGCAAAACCAAGTTCCTTATTAATGGGAGATAACTAATAACTTCATGGCAAGGAACTGTAAACAAAAAGCAGCCACACCTGGGGAAACAGAAGGGAAGGTTTGGCAAGGATGTGGTGTGAGCAAGAGCTGCTGGGCAGGTTGGTACCCAACAGGTGCCTGCACAGGCAACAGGGACTGGGATTAACTGCAAGACTTCTGGCACTGACTGGGAAGCTTAGGGGACTAAAAGAAATCTAAGCTCAGCTGCAGAGAGGAAGTAGTGGAGCTGCCGTTCTCTGGGCACTTGGGACAGATGCAGTGGTTCCCAAGTCAACACCTTCTTGCTGCAGAGAGGTCGAGCTGCAGAACTCTGAGGCAGAAAGAGCTGGTGTCCACAGCTTGGCAGGCTTTCTGTGAGATGCACAATGGGGTAATGCATCAAAATAGGCACCCCTGAAGTAGAGGAATGCAAGCCACTTTTCCCACACAAAGGGCCATGATAGTTTCTACCAAGGTGCCAACCAGAGGTGCATTCTGTATAGGAAATTAAGTCCAGGGTGGGTACCAAACATGTTTCATGATGCCTGGAAGCGGCATGTTATCTCCCCAGGGGCTGGGTACACCACACGTCAACTCATCAGAGGGTGGTCTTGGAGAAGGGACCCATTCATCTGAGATGACAGATCCCAAAAAGCAGTGAGGAGAAGAGCACCAGAAAAGAGAAAGTTTCTATCTCCCAGTAGATCTGGGAAAAACCAAAATGTGCCACTGCAGAAGTGCTAGGAGGAGGCAGAGTGATTGGCTACCTGACTGGGAGGCTTTTTTGAAAGGGTCCTTTTTAGGGAGGCAGTGCCTGAGTCACCACAAATCTCGGATATGGCACTGAGGAGAGTCTAGCAGTGCCCTGCTTCCCAGAATCCCATGAGAGCACCTTTAAGAAAACATAGCTTTATGGGGTCTTTGGACAAATCTGCAGCCTCTTTCTTTACAGTGCTAGAAGGTGAGTACCCTTTGTGTGACAATACTCAGCTGCATATCCCAGAGAAACCTGAATTAGAAAGTGAGAAATAACATTGGGGGGATCTGACTAAAGTTGTGGGCTGCATTTCTGCTAAAAAAAACCCAAAACATAACAAAACCCCCAATGATTTAATTACTGAAGAAAATCTGCAGCATTCATGGGCATATTTGGCATCTGGCATCTTGTAACTGGCCAGCATTCGCTGTGGAGGACTGTATAACTATTCTCTTTCAAAAGACCTCCAGATTCTTCCTCAAGGAGAGATGGGACACTTACAGAATCCTTATTGGTCATCACAGTTACCTGTGGAGATGGTTATGGCTATCAGTACCTTGGCCAATACCTAGTTAAGTGATATTTCTGATGCCACAACCTCCATGTTTTGCAACACAGAGGGTGGGGTGGATTAAATACAAAAATCCATGCAGCAAACTAGGTTATATTTCGACTCCCTTCTCATTGCAGTGTTCATGCTTCTAATCCAATCAAAAAATATGCAATAGCCTTCCAAATATCCCAGGGCTGCACTGGGTTTTCCCAAGAGCAAAGTGGGATGGGAGGCACGTGCCAGCTTTGCTCTCAGTTACAGTGACCTTGACACTGAGGTAAAGGAGTCAGGCACTGACCCAACGTGTTGTTGAGAGGCTGGGGCAGCAGCTGAGTGGTCCTGAAAGATTGCCTTAACTCAGGTATGAGCTGAGGAGTACTTTGATGGGAGCTGAACCTTGGTCTGAGAGTGGGACTCCCAAAATGTGTTTCTCTCAGGGTACCTGGAGAGAAAGAGTCTGACCATCTGCAGGGTCCTTGGGACCCAGTGGACTGGAAGTTCCAGTGCCCACAGCAGAGCTGGATGACATACAAGTGCTGGACACCAGGGATAGCCCAGAAAGCAGATGAGCATTAGCAGAAATATCAAGCAAACAAAATCTCTGAAAGTGCCATAAAAGAGAGAAAGGCCAATCCACATATTCCAGGCTCATATCCTTATTGCTGCTGTTGCTCTCAACTGACAGTACAGTATCCCTTCAGAGAAAAACTGCCACAGAAGGATGTGCCTTCTGCTCATGGGGCTCAAATCCTCTCTGTGTTCTACTCTGGGCAGTAACCTGGGTTTCTCCAACAGAGAAGAGGCACCTTGTCATGTTTCAGATGCTGGAGGATGAGCATTGCTCAGAGCACAGAGGGGTCTGGCTCTAGGCGTATTTGCCTGTGCCCCAGGAACTGTGAAAAAGTGGGTCTGATCCACATGCTGTGTTTTCATGGTGCATCATGGCAGGAGAACAGGAGCCCATATCTCATGGTACATTGGAACCCTGGAGGCTGCAGGCTAAATAGAGAATATGTTGTTTCTTTCTTAGTGGGAAAGCTAGATACGAAAAAGTAGAGGGTGACTAAAGGAGCAGTGATGCTACGAAAAATCATTTGCAGAAGAATATAATCACTGGGAAAGTTGCTGTGGATGATGGCATAGCAAGGAGGGGCACAGCAGTGCTCCAGAATAGTCCTGAAGAGAATGAAGTCTCTGATTTGGTGATCCCCAACCACTTTACTTTGAACAAAAAATTGCTAGGGAGGGAGATGGTGCATTTTTAAACTGAAAGGGCTCATTGTAAATCAAAATGGATTTATTCCTTTATAGTTTAGTTTTCAGCTGGATCAATTCTCTGCTGCTCATCAGTGTTGACAAAAGAGAGGCAGCAGGAGAGATGAAAGGGAAGATGGGATTGCCCCTCTCTGCAACACTATGCATTTGTGCTGGATTAACACGATTGTGTGCCAGACTGCAATTCAGAATGTAGTGGCAACTGAGCTGTTTTTTCAATTTCCTCTCCACTTGGCACCTCATGGCAGGTAGCAGCCTGCATCCTTTTGTAAGATATCTTCTACTGCCTCACTAAGAAAAACACCACGAAATCAAATAAACCCACTTGTTTGTTAGTCACAGTATCACAGGAAGATTCAGGTGGGAAAGGACCTCTGGGGTCTCTATTTCACCCCTCTGCTCCCAGCAGAGTGACTCTCAAACTAGACAGGGTTGCTCAGGGCCAGGTTCAGGAAAATCCTGAACACTTCCAATAATGGATAATCACTGCTTGCTGTGTTCTTGCCTTTAGTACTGCAAAGAGACCCCTCTGGCTCTGGAGCTACCCCCATTCTCACTGTGCTGGCACACACAGCATGCTTTCTTGGTGTAAGATCTAAATCTTCCTTACCCTCAAAGGAGGCTGGGACCAAAGAGATGGAACTATAAATGGACTTCAAAATTCCCAAGAAGGGGTGGGACCTCCTGTGTCACAAGGAGGGCTGGGAGAGGTCTGGTTTCCCAAGACGGAGAGACAACTAAATATTAGGAGGTTCTGCCGGGAGCTGGTCACTGTGGTGCAATTGAGGTCACATGCAGAAAACATGGGTTTAAGCTTGATTTTTTTTGTTTGTTTGGTGCCATTGATAATTTTCTCTGGTGCTAAGAAGTTTCTGTTTGCAGGTGTCAGGTCCCATTCTACAGAAGGTGAACATTTCATGCTGCACAGAGCTCTCTCCACTCTTACAGGCTTCTCTGCCAGGTTTTTCTCAGAAAGCCACAAAAGACCAAAGGACTCTCTTTAGCTGCACAGCATGTGTGAGAGTAGAAGATAAAGCAGCTAATGCTTTTGTGTCCTGCGTAAATACTTCAGACGCTTTGCTGATGAGATGAAAGTGTCCTAGAAATTCAGACTATGTGAGCTTCCAGTGCTAGGCTGTCACATGATCTGCTCAACATCTAAATGCTTTCTGATGTTCATGGATGTCTTACAATGACAAAATATGGTTAGGAGGGCTACACAGCTCTGCAGGTGTGACTGTCTCTCCTGGCACGGTGCATATATTTGGCCGAGTTAATGGGAAGTAACTACCTCCTAAAACCCCTGGTAAAATCACGCTTAGAATTAAAACATAAGGTTCTACATGGAGGAACAAAGTATGTGGAATCACACTTCCGCAACATAATACAGTATCCTGGGAAGACAAGGCTCCAGGGAGGGAGATAGATGATGCATGCTGTATTAAATGGGATCTCACGGAGTGAACAGATTGCGTTACCTCTGTTTACAGCACAAGTTACTGGAATGTGTCCATATATTGAAAATGGATGTGGGAAAAGGATTTAGCAGAGTGGTACAAAAATAAAACCAAACCAACTCTGACTTGGGAGCCTGAAGATCTTGCTTTGAAATGAATAAACTTGAGATGCTTGATCTCTTTTACCTAATCTGAAGGAAACAGTGGTGAGCTCAGGCAGCAATTTTACTGCAAACAAGAGGAAATTCATTTTGCATGTCCCAAAGACAGTGTAATTATTGTTAGAGGATGTTAGGATGTTATGGAGAGCAGGAATATAAATGAGTTCAAATACAGATTAGGTAATTTGTGGAGGATCAGTTCCTCACTGGCTTTTGAATGTGATGAACTGGTATGACTGCCAGCTCAGGCTGTCCTTGACTCTTGCTTGCAGGAAGCTTCTACATGATGCCTTGATTCTCAATGCCTTTCCTTAGGGATCTTGTATTGGCCATAGCAGAGCACCATAGAGAGACCATTGGTACGACCATTTTTATGCTCTTACAATCCATCTTTGATGTTTTCTTCCCATGAGAAGA